TCATTGATCGAGCCTGTAACGGCCTCGAAAATTCAAAAGGAAATACATATAATAATCTGAGTGCGGAAATGAAATAAAAGATTAAGGTTAACATCCCTTACACAATAACTTAAAAGTACTAAACAATATCACGGAATAAGTTCTCTAAAAAAATACGAGAAATGAGAAAAATAAAGGAAACTATAAAGCATCTAGCATCTACTCGCTGTCTTCTTGTGGATCGGGCTCGGGAACCAGGTCCTCCTGATCTGAAATGGTTAAATAAGGAATGAGCTACACTAGCCCAGTAAGGACATCACACTATATCACCATCACAGAAGTAAATATTAGTAGAAAATCAACAAAACAACCAATGAAGTACAAATTTTAAAGAAATATATTTATTTAAAATAAAACCATTTACCATCTTTCTTACCCTTGGAGAACCTGTAAAAATAACCTATAAAGACAATAACATCATACATATCACAATTTCATGCATAATCAGTAACATAAAACATATCATAAATTCGTATTCATTAACAATAACTAATTATCACCGTTTTTCGTTTTCACCAGCCTACTAATATCCATGGGGATCCATAGGGGTGTTCCCGCTACACGTGAACCACTCTCCTTAACAATCTTAATTCCAGGATTGTTCCATACCCCCGTCCGGTATGAGAGTGAAACGGACCGTCCCCATACCCCGTTCGGTATGAGCACCAATGTCCAAGTCTTCATACCCCGTCCGGTATGAAACAACGTTCACGGTAGGGTTTCTTATGAACCAGTCCGTCCCCCATCTCCCAGGATATCTAGTGAGGCTGTCACCTTATCTGTTTTTCCTTAGTCTCCGTTACCAAGCTGAACACAATCACATAAACAATAAACATGCACCCGATAATATAATCATATCATAAATTTCAAAATCACACAGTGGTCAAGTAAGACAGCAATACATACATTTAAAACCATAGAATAGATAGACTAGATACCATAATACATTTAAACTGTAAAATAAATCAAGCAGAAATCGATAGAGAATAATGTCCGGTTCGAGTTCCATTAACAACCTTAATTAATTATGCGTATCTATTTAATTGTACAAAATACGGTATTATCATTTATTCAAACCTTAATTCCATGATAGAAAATAGGGTAAGGAGTCTTTACTTGATTCGACGCCGAAAATTAGATTATCATTGCGCCTACGGGCGGTCCGTGGGTTCCCTGAATTTTTTTTCGGGAATTGAAACGTGCTTACAGTACCTATACATATCCCAAATAACCCAAAAATCATACCCATGGCCTACTCGCCCAATTTTAAAATTCCAACACGGTGGCTCCGCCGTGCTCCGACGACGACGATCCGCCTCGGGTTGGCTGTTTTCGACCGAATTCAGCTAAACTTATATCGGTTTCGGTGAGAAAACACACTTAGGGCCCTCGGTGGGCTGGAAAAACATAGAAAATCAAAACTCACCGGTGGTGGGGCTATCCGGTACGACGACTCCTCTGGCTCACATTGCGGTTGAGTGTTTTGCTCTAGTTAACCTGTAGAGAAAGAAACGGTGATCATAATGGTAGAAAAATCACATCGAACGAGAATCGAGAAGGGCCTCATCGGAGGCAAAAACTCAAACACCTAGCGACGACGTCGTTCAGCTTCAGCAGCGTTTTTCGGCCAATTGACCGGTGCTTTCGCTCTAATTTGGCCATAGATGGGTTTAGAATCAAATTCTGAGCAAAGGGTAGAATTTTTACCTCGTTTGATGGCCAGAAATTGCTCCGGTACGGTGGCGGGTGGCGGCGATCATCTCCCCGGCGGCTGGGCTGTCTTCTCCAGTGATGGGCTCTGGCGGCTAGGGTTAGGGTTTGGGTGCAGATGATGTTATTTATACCCATCTGCTTTTGATCTGAGCCGTCCATCGCTTTTAATTTGGACCGTCCGATCACGATTAAATAGGAAGTGAATCTGGATCGTTCATCGCGATTCAATCTGGACCGTTCATGCGCGATTCAATCTGGGTCGTTCGTGCGCGATGCAATCTGGGCTGTCTGTGCGCGTTTTTGATCTGGGCTGTCCGTGCGTGCGAGAACGAATCTCAACCGTTCGGTCACACGCACGCGGATCGCTCACGTGGCTCCCTCCCGCGTCAGCGTCTCTGCCACCTGGTGCGTCCTGGTTGGTCGGGGCTGCTGATCGGACAGCTGACGTGGTACAACTTTTTTAAATTACGTTTTGACCCCTTAGTTTCTGATTTTTCTTTCAAAAATACTCTCAGAACCTAAATTTTCACCCCTTTTTTTCAAAATTATTTTCAATTAAATCCCTAAACAATTTTTACCCCTTATTATTATTATTATTATTATTTTCATTAAAATAAATTAAATTCAATTCAATTAATACATATTATATTTATATAAAATTAATAAAAAATAAAATAATGAAAATAATTAGGTGTTACAGAGCCAATCTTTGTATAAATAATATCAAAAACTATCATCAGATCTCTTTAAATTAAGTATTATATTTGCTCATACAATTAGAGATATTTGATTATTACCATCTCTTTCAATCATAAAAAGACATCGACAATTTTCCAAATTTTCTAGAAAGCACCCATCGATACCATCTCTTTTGATTTTTTTTTTCTTTTCGTTTTTGTTCTTTCCAATTGTTATAAATTCCGTAGCAACCAAAAGTCTTACTTTTTTTTTTCCAAGTTTTAAAACACTTTACCAAATAAATATACTCAAAACAATCTCTACTTTTGCTTTTTACTTCAAAAGAGAACATTTTATATGCAATAAATATGTATCATCATGTCACGTAGTTTTCCTACTTTGGTTATCTCAAAGTCATTCACAAAAAAATAATCTTTCACGACATAAACAAGTAGTCTACACTTTTTTATTGTACAACTTCCGAATCACGGCCACACATGCATACCAAACATACAAGTAAAGTTCAATTTATTTCCTCAAGCACCTCCGTACAACCATATCCGGCAATCATAGTTTCATTCATAATAGTTTAATGTTATCTTTAATTAAAAAATAAAAAAATAGTTACATACGTTCGCTAAATTAGACATCATTCAACCAAAGTCAAATATTTTATTCACAACAGCTTCCGCGAGAACATCATTCACGTTACTCATTTACACGAATCAAAACATTCATACGCATTTTCGTAATTTATTTAAAGTATGAACTCTATTAAAGAAATTCCGACTCAAAATTACCTAAAAAAAGAGACAAAATCATATACGAACATAATCAATGTAAATATTTATATGAAAATTTAGAATCTTACATACTTAAAAATACAACTCTTTCAATAGTTACTTTATAAGTTCATATTAATTATAATTATTATATTTTTAGATATATCCACATGTATATAAAGTAAATCGCAGTGTCTTCGTCTCATTTTAGAATTTATTAAGACGTTGATGTCTCATTTTAAATTACCTATTATTTTTATACATAAAATTTTATTGAAAATAAAAAACGGTTATTGTTTTTTATAAATGATTACAAAAAGTAAATATTTATTATTTAAAATTAATAAAAATAAAGACAAAATTAAACATTTTTGTCATTATTGTAAATATTTCATAAATTATGTTATTATTTATGTATTATTAATTATAAATGAATATAAAAAATATTTAGATAAAAAATAAAATTTTAAAAAATTAGATATAAAACTTTTATTATTTTTTTTAAAAAAACATTTATAAATGTAAGAAGATTCCAAACACCCACTTAGTGCTCACGTCACCAGCGGTTAGAACATGTATGGATAAACTTATTCTGCTACCAAACAAGCTTTTAAGAGCTGCAAGCCCCCCTCCGCTCTGCAGCCACGTTTTCTCCTTTCTTTGTCTTCTTCTTCTTCTTCTTCTTCTTCTTCTTCTTCTTCTCTCGCGGGTTTGGCTGCAATTCACTGTCAAATCCAACCGTTCTCTCTCCTTATTTGCCAGAAAATACGTTCAGCAGTACTCCGTGATCTTCCTTTTTCTTCCATTACCATATCGTTTATTTCGTTTTTGCTGTGAGGTTGCCGCGTAATTTGATAGAGAAGCGTAGCGGATTCCGGCCACTCTTCGTCGTTTTCTTGTTTTTTCCGGCAGGCAAAACCTCCAGAAAGCTCTTAGGTTAGTTTGGCAGTGTTTTAGGTGAGGTTTATTCGTCCTTCTATTTTCCTTAGCTTCCATTTTCATGTTGCTAAAATTTGTTCTTTTGCTTCGAAATTGCTTCCTTGCGAATTAGTTTATGTTATGGGCTTGTGATCAAAATTTTCTTCACGAATTTGGCTGAATTTTAGACCGATATGATTTAATCCATCTGCTAAATAGTGATCCCCATACCTAATTTCGAAATTTGCTTTGTAACTGGTTGGTTCTTAACTCATGTAAATTACATGAATTGGAGGATTGTTCATTGTGTTAGTTTTTAATTGAGTATTAAGATTATAATGTGTAACTCTATAAGCTGTAACCATAACTTATGATGCATCGCTTCTTGATTCCAAATTTGTAACAGTTCTTGTTCCAACTTTCATCGTTGTCATTAATACGTACGTCTCTTAATGGAAATCCGAATTTAGAATTTCTATGATTTCCTAATCTTAAAGGTTCTTAATATTCTAAATTTAGTTTTGATCTTATATCGTTTATATTACTAGCCCTATAGTTCTTGTAGGTTACTTAGATAAGTGTATGATCTCACGTGTGATGCTACCCTTAGAAGATTTGGTTTGAATGACAAGGTTGTTAGTTTTATGTGTTATTGATTGTAGATAAGGAAAGGTTAGCCTAGCTTAATTTCTCATTGATAAATGGTGAGGTCGTCAAATCTAGTGCGACGGGAATGAAGATATAGCGACTATAAAAATTAGAATGGATATATACATATAGAAACAACATATGCAATTATAGTTAGAGTGAACATGCAGGTAGACAAGCAAAATATGCAGATACAGTTAGATGTCTACATTTTGTTGTTCTATGCTTCATTGGCAAACCAAAAAATTTCTTACATCTTTAGTTTTGGCACTGAAGGTAATTTTTTACTGTATGTTTCATTCTAGTGCAGTTCTTTTCTTAAGTGTTCAAAAGCTCCTTTTTCTCCATTAGCAACTCCAGTGCTGCTCATACCTTGTATCAGCAAAACTCATTTTTGGCTAGGGTGAACTGGCTGGTTCGGCTATACCTATAAACCCCACCTCCACCCAAAAAAAGAAAAAACAAAAAATGAAAAATTTATTGCTACTGAATTTGAGCCCTTTGATGTGGTGCTAGAAGGAGAGGTTTGCAATGTCTTGCACATAAGTAAGAATGGGTTTTGCAACCGTTTCCGTGCCTCTCATTCGATTGTGAAATAATGTGGTTTTCCGGGCTACGTATGAGTTTTCTTGGCTAAGAGGGAACAACATTTCGAGTAGGGAACTTAGATTGAAGGTAGAGCTTTGCATCTGTTGTTTGGAAGAATTTGTAAAAGCATATTTTCTTGAACTAAAGAAGTTAAAGTCCAGTGGTGGAAGAAAAATTCTGGTCTTAGATTCTAGAAAGCACCAAGGTAGATGGATGGTGGAGGATTTTTATGGTTGTAAAGAGCAGTGCGTGGGTTTAGTTTGTAAGAAGGAAGAGAGGGAGTGATTGCAAAAGCCAGTAAGGTCAGAAGATGAGAAAATCACCCGTGGTCTTGCATCAATTTCAAGAGAGGAAGCAAAGAACTAGTGCTCATTGGAGATGGGGCTTTCTTGCCTGGCATGTGGGGTTAGGTTGGTGATGAAAATGAAGTTGGCTGAGATCCAGGAACCATTTGTCGAGGTGCTGATTCTTACTTCATTATCGGGTGTAGTTGGTGACAGTAGTAAGGGGGTATCCTCCAAGAAAGGATAAAGAGTAAGGGGATAAAGAGGAAGGATATTGCCAAATAGTGAATGATCATAGGAGAAAGACGGTTATTAAGGAGTTAGAGCTTGCAAATGGGGAGATGGAGAGGTGGGGTGATAGGACAGGGCAGCAGATTACCGGTTCTTATCGTGAATTGTATTCAAAGGAGGTAGCTCATAAACCATTACTAGAAGAAATCATTGGTGGCTACTACCAGTGCTAAAGTAGAGAGGTTAGGGAGACCTTTTGAAGAGGAGGAAGTTAGGAGAGCAGTGTGAGATCTAGAAAAGGAGAAGGCCTTAGAACTAGATGATTTCATTATAGCTTTCATCCAAAGTTGTTGGGAAGTCCTTAAAAGGGACTTATTGAAAATGTTATAAGGAATTTTATTTGAATATGCAAAAGTATGAACCCAACATTCATTACTTTAGTCCTAAAAGAATAGAAATCCAATAAAGTGTTCGATTACTATCCAATTAGTTTAGTGAAGACAATCACTAAAGTGCTTTCCCTAAGAATTGGTAAGGTTGTAGATGACATCATTTCATTAAAACAGAGTACCTTTTTTGGGGGTTAGCAGATATTAGGGGTCTCACTTATGGCCCATGAGACTTTAGAATGGTGTCAGAGATCCAAAGTGAAAAGGATAGGTCCTTAAATTGGATTTTTAAGGTCTATGATAGGGTCAACTAGCAATTCCATGATGGAGTTTTGGAGCACAAGAGGCTTGGGAGGTGATGATCTTGTAATGACGTGGGATTTGGAAACTATACTCCTTTTCTTGGGTCTTTCGTTTTTTGAGTTTTTTTCCGATTTTTTTCGTCTGTTGTAGTTGAAGTTTCGAGGAGGATGTCTTATTCTCCACATATGTATGTTCTTACTTTTCCTAATAATACTTCTTCTTGTATCCAGTGGAAAGTTAGACTAAGAAATACTATAAACTAATAAGCTTAGAAATACTGCTTCTAGTAATTTAGGAAATATAAATATTAGTAAAATAGAAAATACAAATATAATTGGATTGGAAAGTGAGGATA